CGAAGCCACGTGGGTACATCCCTTTGCCTGACAGCAGGGGACTTCGCTCGCAGAGTTTCCGCGAGGGCGGGTGACCGAGAGCGGACGGAGGCGGCCAGGGACGGTCTCAGGAGAGAAACTGACGCTGGCTCAGACAGGGTCAGCATGGGGGTGGCGAGGAGTGGCCAGCGCCGATGTACCTCGGAGGAGCCCCGAGAGAAGTCGGCGGAGTGACTGACCGTGGGGTGGGGAGAAGAGAGGAAGGGAGGGTAGCACTTCACTGTCTGGAGCAGCTGGGTGTTGGTGGGACATCTCCTGAGCTGGGGTTGGGGCGGGGTAGAAACACCAGCTGCAGGTTCCCTCTTCACAGCCAGGGAGGTCTCGGCATGAAAAGAATCCTATTTTAATCCAAATGAAGGGGAGGAGGAGCTCACTCACTGTATGTTGGCATCGTCTGTTCTGTCGCGGCACCTTTTCCCACAGAGGACATGGAAGAGGTTAAGGAGCTGCCCAGGCCTCCTTCCTCACAGAATTCTCCCCAAGGTGTTCACACACATAATCCGCACACGTGCACACACACACACACTCCAGCCTGCTTCTGCCCAGAGCACCTGCAACCTCAGGGTCTATGCAGCTCCCTGTGGCTCCTGGAGGCTGGGTGGCAAGAGAGGCTGTCAGAGCCCTAATCCGACTCATACCCTGCATGATCCCCTTCCCGAGAGTGTAATTTCACTACGTTGCATGATAAAGTCAAGGTAAAAGGACTTTGCAGCTGTAATGAAGGTCCCCGGTCGCTTGACTTTAAGTTGATCAAAGGGGACCTTGCCCTGGGTGGGCCTGGTCTAATCAGGTAAGGCCTGTAAAAGTGGGTCTACAGGTCAGAAGTGAAAAAAGTACCAGAACCATACACAAGAATAAACTCAAAATGGATAAAAGACTTAAATGTAAGTCACAAAACCGTACAAGTCCTAGAAGAAAACATAGGCAGTAAAATCTCAGACATTTCACTTAGCAGAATTGTTGCCAAAACATCTCCTAGGGCAAGAGAAACACAGGAAAAAATAAGCAAATGGGACTAAATCAACTAAAAATAAGCTCTGCACGGAGGAAGAACCATCACCAAAATGAAATGGGAACCCACTGTATGGGAGAACATATTTATCCATGATATATCTAAAAAGGGTTTAATTTCCAAAATACACAAAGAACTCATACAACTCAACAAAAGGAAGACAAACAATCCAATTTAAAAATGGGCAAAAGATGCTGCCTCTGGCCCTGGCCAGTTTTGCTCAGTGGTTAGAGTGTCAGCCTGCGGACCAGAAGTCCCGGTTCCTGCTAAGGGCACGTACCTTGGTTGCAGTTTATCCCCGGCTCCGGTTGGGGTTGTGTGGATGGCAACAAGTCGATGTGGCTCATTTCTCTCTCTTGCTTCATCCCGCACTCCCTCCTGCTCTATCTGAAGATAAATGCAAAAATGTCCTCAGGTGAGGATAAAATAAATAAAAATGAGCAAAAGACAAAGAGGTCTGATTCCCAGCCAGGGCACATGCCTGGGTTGTGGGCTCGATTCCTGGGTGGGAGGCATGCAAGAGGCAGCCAATTGATGTTTCTGTCTCTTCCTGCCTCTCCCTTCCTCTCTCTCTAAAAAAATCAATGAAAACAAATTTTTTTTAAACATGGGCAAAGGACCTAAATAGACACTTCTCCAAAGAGGACGTACAGATGGCCAATAGACATGAAAAAATGCTCAGCGTCACTAATCATCAGATGCACATTAAAACTACAATGAGGTATCACCTCACACCTGCCAGAATGGCTATCATTAATAAATCAACAAACAAGTGCTGGAGAGCATGTGGAGAAAAGGGAAGCCTAGTACACTGCTGGGTGAAATGCAGACGGGTACAGCCACTATGGAAAACAGCATGGAGTCTCTTCAAAAAATTAAAAGTGGAACTGCCATTTGACCCAACAATCCCACTTCTGGGAATGTATCCTACGAATCCTGAAAAACCAATCAGAAAGAATACATGCACCCCTGTGTACATAGCAGTGTTATTTACAGTAGCTAAGATCTAGAAACAGCTCAAGTGCCCATCAGTAGATGAGTGGATAGAAAAGCTCTGGTACATGTGCACAATGGAGCAGCAGTAAGAATGAGGGATCTCTTACCTTTCGCAGCAGCATGAATGGACCTGGAGAGCATTATGCTAAGGGAAATAAGCCGGACAGAGAAAGACAAGTATCACATGATCTCACTTATATGTGAAATCTAATGAACAAAACAAACTGACAATCAAAACAGGTCCAGAGACGTGGATGCATGGAACAGACTAACAGACCTCAGAGGGTTGAGAGGGGAGGGAGGGAAAGGAAGAGATTAACCAAAGGATTTATATGCATAGCCCATGGACAGGAAAAATAGTATGGTTAAGGCTTGGGGTAGGTTGGGGCCTGGCTGGAGGGGGAAGTGGAAAAATAAAAAGGCACAAAGATTGCTCTCCTGTTGGCCTTAAAGAAGCAAACTTTCATGTTGCAGAGAGGCCATGAGTCAGAGAAGGGGTTTCCAGGAACTGGGGGCCTCAGTCCTGCAACCGCAAAGCACTGAGTCCACAGTCAGTGAGCCTGGAAGAGACCCTGAGCCTCAGCAGAGATCACAGGGTGACACCTTGATTACAGCCTGGCAAGACCCTGCAGAGAACCCAGCTTGGCCATGGGAACCTCTGACCCCTGGGAACTGTGAGATGGTAAATGTATGTGGATTTAAGCCACTGTGTTTATGGGGATTTGTTACACAGCAATAGGAAACTAATACAACATGATAACAATAATAAATACAGCAATAATAGATAATAGTAATGTTCAGCACTTACCATATGCTAACCATTTTTAATTACTTTCTGTCACTATCCTTCACAACAACTACAAATTTGGTCCTATAATTATCCAAGTTTAACACATGAGAAAACTGACACTGAGGAAGAAGTCACAGAACTGAGGACGTGACCGATTCGGCCCAGGCCTGGAACTCTGAAGGCAGAGGAGCTGAGCACGTCAGTGCCGCCTCCAATCAGAGAAGGAGCCCCTCCTGCGGAGTTAGTTCTGCACCTGAGACTCCTCTTTGTACCTGGGAACCCTGCTCCAACCACATCTTAACCCCTTGTGCCCTCGGTCATTCACGCTCCATCCCAGCCACCGGCCACAGAGCCTCTGATGGGCCATCTCATCATTTCCTCTCCTTGCACTCTAAGGTCCCATGGTCATTTTGAACAGTGTGGCCTCTAGGAGCTAAGGTGTCCCCAGGATGAACTGGAAGTATTCTGGCCGGGTCCGGTTTCCCCAGGACTGTCCCAGTCTTAAAACGGAAAGTTCCACCTCCCAGGGACTCCTCAGCCTCAGGAAAGCTGGGACAGCCAATCACCTACCGCCCTGCAAACCAAGCCCAGGCTGAGGTGGGCCGAGGGGCCACTTTGGTCCTGCAGCTTACCGTGGTCCTTCCTGTCACCAAGAAGAAAAGAAATGCCCAGCCAGGATACTGGAGTCCTATTCCCAACAGGGAGCTAAGGAGCGGAAGCAACTCCTCAAAGCAATTGACTCTAAGAAGCTGCTGCTGGATGGGGTTCGGCTAGGAAAGCCCAAGTAGGCTTCAGCCAGGACCATCAGACAGGCCTCGGAAATGACCCGCATGGCGGCGTTTCCCGAGTCCAGAGGTCTGCTGCCTGGAGCATCCGCATGAGGCACGTCGACCCCGGCATCACACGGGCCAGACTCCCTGTCTTCATCTGCTCTGCTCCCCAACGACGCAACTCAGGGAAAGTTGGGAGAGGTTTGACCCAGGATGTGCTTCTTCCTGCCTAAGATGGGGTGGGGACCCTCAGCATATTCAGCTGGGGACTGAGGGCACTCACCTGTGTCTGGTCACCTCAGCTGAAAGCTCAGCCCCGAGGAGTTGACTCCCCGTCGGAGCCGGCTTCCGTCTGCCGGGCGTCCTGGGCTCTTGACCACACCTAGCCATCTTCCCAACTGTGCTCTTTGTGCCAAGGGCCCCAGGTGTGACGGTGGTTGGACCACCACAAGTCTGCCCACAATATGGGAAATGGCTCAACACACATATCTTATTAAACACTGCTAGCCGGCAGTCTATGACCTCAGTTATTCATTTATTCACTTGTTTACCACTGTCTGGGGGCACCTGTGCTGGGCCTGGCTTTGTCATGGGTGCTGACACTGAGCTTCAGCACATTTCAACTAAATAATAATTTAGTCTTCATGGTGGGGAGGGGCTGCACAGTCAACAAACAAGTCTTAAGGTAGTCTGTCTGTCTGTAGGAAGGATAGTGTTTTTTTCTTTCTTTCTTTCTTCCTTTTTTGTTTTTGCATTTCTCCAGTTTATCACATTAAAATTTTGCAGGGGGAGAAGCACATCTTAATGTCATAAAACTCACACCTACGGTCCCCTACAATATAACACTTTACAGGACGTTTGTTCAAGTTCCCAAATAGTTTGAGTCATTGGTACCTGCTATGGGCCTGTCCCTGGCATAGCACAGAAAAAGAAAAAGAAACAGGACATCAGGGATGTTCAAGAACTGATGCTTTGGCGAGGCAGAGGGCACCTCTTAATGTCTTTACGTGGTACGTGTATGTGCTGTGCTTGAGCCGTGCATAGGGCGCCACGGGAGGTCAGAGGGCAGCAGAGACCAACCTGGAGCTAGGGAAGGCTTCCGGGAAGAGGCAAGGCTGCAGGGGTGTCACTTCTGTTTCTTTGTTTAATGGGATTTGCTCATTAAGACATTTCAAATAATACATGAAAATATAAACAAGAATGTAAAACTTACCCCTACTCTCTTCACCCAGAGATATCACAGTTGACATTTTGGTGAATATACTCCCAGACGTGTGTGTGTGTGTGGGGGGGGGGGGGGATAGTGTATGTCTTATCATCATTTAGGTTGAAGAAAACAAAGTAGTCGTTCAACTGTAGCAACAGACACACACAAAAATGAAACCACCAGCTTCAAACGCATCTCTGCATTTTATTTTAGGAAAACACAAATCTGGTCCCAAAACATCTTCAGAAAGCAGGATAAGTCAAGGAGCACAGAGTGGGTCTGAATAACAAACCCGGGGCCTGCATTTTCAGGGGGCAGGGCTGACGCAGAATTCTTCTCTCCAGGAAAAACAAGGTGAACTCATGCTGGGAAGCCCAGATGGTGGTCAGATTGACTCCCTAGCTCAGAGGGGCCGCACCCTGGAGGGGCTGAGTGACGGTGACTTCTAGGTATGGATCAGGTGAGGGTAGTAGCATCCTTGCATCCAGCAGTTAGGGAATGAGAAGCAGAGGAGAGATAGTAGTGGTGATGGTCTTTATGTAGTTTTCAAAGTCACTTCCAAAAAACAGGATGAGGTAATAGTTGAATATACCAGCAAGGGACATGAGGAACAGGAACAGGATGATTCGCTTCCCGAAAATGTAGCCAGGTATGCTGCAAAAAGAGAGAGAAACCTGTAGACGCTACAAAATGACACCCATTTCACCCACAAAGAAAGTCATCACTTTGAAATACACGGGGTTTCAATTACAGCTCCCTTCACTCAAGAATGTTGCATCTACTTCGTATGAAGGATGAACTCTCTTAGCTGGTATTAGTCACTGAACGTATTTCAAAACCCGGCTGAAGGGCCAGACCTCAAAGCCCTCATCGATAAGGCTCAGCGAACAGCTGCTCTGCGTGGCCCGTGTCCTCCCGACTCCAGGTCCTCGGCAGCGTGAAGGTAGCACGTTCTGCCGGCCAGCGGGCAAGCTGACGGGCTGGGAACCGCATCGACTCATCCAGACCTCTCCACCCTGCTGCTCCCCAGGAGCGCCCGCCCGCCCGTGAGAGCCTTGCTGGCAGCTGTGAACAACGCAAGCCTTTAAGGGCCTCCCGGAGAGAAGTGATGGTCCAAATGAGCTAACAAGACTGCTGGAATCTAAGAGGTGCTCTGGCATCTGAGGCTTCAATCTGCCTGGGAATAACTCATGTTCACTCTAATGAGAGCGGGGCCCCAGCAAGGGAAGACGAGTATTTTAAGTGAATGGAGGGAGAGAGGCTTTTTATGCAGTCAGACCCTTCTATCAAAGGCTCTAATCCTGAGCTGCCGAGCACATTATCAGCTGGGGTCAAGAGCCATTTCCCTAGGGAAACATGACCTTCTAATTGTTCCAGCAGCCACCCTGGTGTCCTCCCCCCGTCTGCAGAATCTGTGACTGCCATGGCTGAGTTCATCTGTGTGGCATTAGCAAAGTCCAGCCAAGTGGCTCGTTAAGGCTGTTAGGATAGAATCCAGCATGGGGCTCTTTGGCAACCCGATTCCTTAATAGCTAGCTCAGCTAACAGGTGAGGTAATGCTGCTGAGTCCGAGTCTTGCTATAATCAGAGAGCAAAATTTGGTGTCCACAGGTTTAATGCTAAAAATTTTATCTTTTTGAAAGGGACCACAAAGATTCACAATGTAACCCATAATTTCCCCATGTCAGGAGTTGGAAAACCATTCATCAACTGAGAATCAACATCCCTGCTTCTCAAAGTGTGATCCTTGGACCAGCAGCATGGAGCTCATTAGAAATGCAGAATCCCAGTCCGGCCAGTGTGGCTCAGTGGTTGAGCGTCAACCCATGTACCAAGAGGTCACAGGTTCAATTGCTGGTCAGGACACACGCCCAGGTTGTGGGCCCAATCCCCAGTGGGAGGCATGCAGGAGGTGGCCAATTAATGTTCTCTCTCATCGATGTTTCTCTCTCTCTCTCCCTCTCCCTTCCTCTCTCTCTAAAACCAATAAAGGAAATAAAAAATAAAATAAGTGAATCCCAGGCCCTCCTGGGTCTACGGGGTCGGCATCTGCACTTGACCAGCTCTCTGACCCGCGGGCACACTCAGGTTTGGGAAGCGCTGCTGGCGAGGCGCCCCGCCCTTGGCCAGCTGTGCTCTTCTCTCCTTGGTTTTTAAGAATCACAGTCATGTTCATGAGCAAGAACGTCTATCTCTGTATGGGGTGGGGAACTGTGGTCCCAAAAGAGAGGGCTGTGGGCTGAATTGTGTCTGCCCAAATTCCTACATTGAAGTCCGAAACCGCAGTGCCTCAGAATAAGGCTGTATTTGGGGGCAGGGTCTTTAAAGAGGTCATGGAGATAAAAAGAGGGCACCAGAGTGAACCCTGACAGAGGGGAGACCATGTGAAGACACAGGGAGAAGATGACCATCTGCATGACAAGGAATGAGGCCTGAAGAAGAGAGCGACATCCAGGACTGTGAGCCGCTCCATTTCATGTGAGCCACCTAGCCTGTGGCTCCTGGTCGCGGTGGCCCGAGCACATGGATGCCGGGTTACCTGCTAATGCAGGTAAGAAAGAGAAAAGAATGTGAGGGAGTCTGCTCTTCAGACAGAGGACAGAGGGTGCAGAGACATTAAATTGTGAAAAGTCAGATACTGTGATGGCTCTGATTTATCACGAGTGAGGCCACCCCATGCTCACTACAGAAACAAGCAAGGGGTCTGTGAGACTGTTCAGAACATACGCAAAATAAATCTGTGGTGTGGAATGAAACGGCGATGCCTCCTAATGGAATAGCGGTCTTCTTGAATTTGGGCAGGATTTTGCAAAGGTCTCAAAGCATAACACCCCCAAAGGAGATTTATCCTTGGTGCTTTAACTCTTCTCAGGCTGTGCAGAGAGAACTTAGCACATGCCCAAGTGTGAATGGGGTCCCCAACCAGGTACTTCCTTGATGCAGGGTTAGTCTCTCAAGCTTAGAGATGGGCCACCACCCTGGAAGTGGACAGGATGTGCACAGGTGAAGACCTGCCCAAGCTCAGGCAAGGTCGCAGAGGACCTGCAATGAGGCAGTGCACAGAGGAAGAGAGAGGGCCCCAATGGGGCACGTGCCACATGTCAGACTTTGAACCATCAAGACCTCTCTTTTGTTGTTTCTAAAAGTTAATGCATATCCAGACACACACAAAAGCTAAAGGAGTTCATTAACACCAAATCAGATGATAAGAAATGTTAAAGGGACTTATTTAAGAAGGAAAAAAAATATCAAAATAATAACTACATACCTATCAGCAATTACTTTCTATGTAAATGGATTAAGTGCTCCAATCAAAAGACATAGGGTGGCTGAACGGCCAGGCAAACAAGACCCCTACATACGCTGCCTACAGGAGACCCACTTCAGATCAAAAGACACACAGACTGAAAGTAAAAGGATGAAAAAAGATATTTCATGCAAATGGAAATTTTTTAGAGATGGGGTAACAATACTACATCAGACAAAATAGACATTATAAAACAAAGGCTATAACAAGAGACAAAGAAGAGTGTTTCACATACAGTAGCCAAGACATGAAAGCAACGTAAGTGTCCCTGGATAGATAAATGAATAGAGAAGATGTGGTACGTATATACAATGGGATATTACTAGGCCATAAAAAAGAATGAAATCTTACCATTTGCAACAACATGGATGGACCTAGACGGCATTATGCTAAGTGAAATAAGTCAGACAGAGAAAGACAAATACTACATGATTTCACTTATATGTGGAAACTAAAAATAAATAAATAAACAATCAAAATAGAAAGATTTATAGATACTGAGAACAAACTAATAGTTGCCAGATGGAAGGGGGGTTGGGGAGTAAAAACAGTGAAGGGATTAAAAAGTACAAATTAGCGGTTACAAAACAGTCATGGGGATGCACATAGGGAACACAGTCAGTAATGTTGTAAGGACTATGTACGGTGCCAGGTGGGTACTAGACTTATTAGGGGATTATTTCATAAGTTATACAAATGTCTAACCACTATTCTGTATGCCTAAAATGTATGTAATATTAAATGTCAACCACGATTGAAATTGTCTTTAAATAATAAAAATAAATAAATAAATGTTGATGCATAGTTCTCTCTAAATGGGGCAGGGAAGGTCAGAATTAAAAAATTAAGCATCTGTAGAAACCAGAAGTTTTATACCTGTGACTTCACTAAACTCTCAGAACCACTCCATGAGGTGTGGTTCACCTATTTCCCAGCTGGGGAAACTGGGAACAGACAGGTTGAAAGATTCGCCGAAGGTCACACAGCCAGAAAGAGGCCGAGTGGGAATTCAAACCTGTCTGTGTGAGGCCAAAGCCCAGCTCTTTCGGCCACATTGGCTTCCCGAGGAGACCAGGACTCGGTTACTGGTTTTGAACCACAGTGTCCTGGCCCCTGCACACACGGGACAACACACCAGAGGCACTGTGCTGACCGTTCCCACCTCGAACATGCCTAAAGCCTCCAAGAGGCAGAGTGTGGTGGGAGAGAGGTGAACCCAGGTGCTTGGAGACCCACGCTCCAGCCCAGCTCTCTGCAGCGTGGCTTTGGGCGACTCCTCACACAAAAATGTACCTAAAATGTGGATAGCAAGAGAAAACTTGATAGTCCCTCTGGCTTTAAAATTCTGTTGTTTTCAATAAGGAAATTTCACCTAAAGCCCGCTAACTTCTAAAGGGGGAAAATGGTTGAGCTCCATGAGAGCAGGGTACTCTCCTCTGTGCTCGCCCTCGTCTCCGGGAAATCAGGCCGTCCAGAAACGGGTCACGTGAATGAATCATTGTAGAAAAGAAGCATGAGCAGCCTTCTGTGGCTCCCAGACTCCACGTGCATGAGAGTCACCTGGAGAAGTTGTTAGAATGTATATTCCTGGGCCCCCCCTCAAGAGGTTCTGGTTCCATATGTCCAAGGATGGGCCCAGGAATCTGTATTTAAATAAGCACCCAGGAGAATCTGGTGCAGCTGGTTGGTGGGTTTCACTTTGAAAAGTCCAGACGTGATACCCATATGCTCACCCAGGAATTCCAAAAGAAGCGAGTTCATTCTTCCAACTCTGGTGAAATAACCCATGGTCCACATTTGGGAAGTGGGGGCAGAGACTCTAAAATATTGACACTGCCCAGCGCTGTAGCTCAGTTGGTTGAAAGTGTTGGCAATTCAATTCCCAGTCAGGGCACATACCTTGATAGAGGGTTCAATCCCTGGTCAGGGCACATGTGTAAGGCAACCGGTTAGGGTTTCTTTCTCACATCAATGTTTCTCTCTCTCTCTTCCTCTTTCTAAGCATGTCCTCCAGTGAGAATTTTTTAAAAAATAATAACAATAAATAAAATATTGACACTAACAGGGAAATTGACTTGGAAGGATCCGTTCTCTTGAAAACTCTACTCGTGACTATGCTGATAGTTTAATATTTCTGGATTTGGCCCATTCTCCTGACCCCCAGGGTCTCCTTGGGGGAATGATTCTACAATACGTGGCTCAGAGCAGGTGATCATTAAATATTTATTAAATGAATGCTGAACGAATGAGGAGAAAGTGGAACTGAGTAGCCTGAGCTTATTGGCCGTGAGAGTCGCCAAGGTTTGCCCACCCACCACTGAGCTGAAAACCTAAAATTGCAAAATAA